GTATACTATCATGTCGTCTGCAAATAGAGACAATTTGGCTTCCACCTTTCCTATTTGAATACCCTTTATTTCTTTTTCTTGCCTGATTGCTCTGGCTAGAACTTCCAGAACTATATTGAATAGGAGTGGTGAAAGAGGGCATCCTTGTCTAGTGCCAGATTTCAAAGGGAATGCTTCCACTTTTTGCCCATTCAGTATGATATTGGCTGTTGGTTTGTCATAAATAGCTTTTATTACTTTGAGATACGTTCCATCGATACCGAGTTTATTGAGGGTTTTTAGCATAAAGGGCTGTTGAATTTTGTCAAATGCCTTCTCTGCGTCAATTGAGATAATCATGTGGTTTTTGTTTTTGGTTCTGTTTATGTGGTGAATTACGTTTATAGACTTGCGTATGTTGAACCAGCCTTGCATCCCCGGGATGAATCCTACTTGATCATGGTGAATAAGTGTTTTGATTTGCTGTTGCATTCGGCTTGCCAATATTTTATTGAAGATTTTTGCATCTATGTTCATCATGGATATTGGCCTGAAGTTTTCTTTTCTTGTTGGGTCTCTGCCGGGTTTTGGTATCAGAATGATGTTGGTCTCGTAAAATGATTTGGGAAGTATTCCCTCTTTTTGGATTATTTGAAATAGTTTTAGAAGGAATGGTACCAGCTCCTCTTTGTGTGTCTGGTAGAATTCGGCTGTGAACCCGTCTGGACCTGGGCTTTTTTTGTGTGGTAGGCTCTTAATTGCTGCCTCGACTTCTGACTTTGTTATTGGTCTATTTATATTATACAGGCGTGGTGGCAGACGCCTGTAATTCCAGCTACTTGGGAGGCTGAGGCAGGAGAATCACTTGAACCCAGGAGACGAAGGTTGCAGTAAGCCGAGCTCTTGCCACTGCACTCCAGCCTGGGTGACAAGAGTGAAACTCAAAAAAAAAAAAAATGAATTTCCTTTTCTTACATTTGTCAGTAAGCGCTGCCTAGAACTTTGGTCCACAGAAACCTAGGACGGAGATGGCATGCAAAGCCCATTGGGGATAAGCGTTCTCCACACCTGCCTGCCAGAAACAGGAGCCCAGGCAAAGTTGTGCCCAACCACCAAGGCCAGCCCTTGGGGTGGCTTTCTGTGAGCTGCCTCCAGGACAGAATGCACAGGGCCCTCTCCTGCACCGTGGCGTGGTTAAAGGCAATGGCCTTGGCCTCAGTGTTGGCGCCCTGCGACACTGCCCTGGTGTCCTGTGCCTTCTGCTCTGAGGCCACCGAAGTGCCCGTGGCTGCTACGGAGACGGAAGCAGTGCTGGGCACTGATGGTTAATGACATTTACACTGTAATTGTCCAGCAGACTGATCAGTCACTGGAGGTTCCCAGTCAGCCTCCTGGCTTAGCTGCCATGCAGGGTTTACTTTGCAGCTGAATCTCGCTGGTCTTCAACATGCGAGTGACTTGTCTACACACTGTGCATCCCTGGGTTCTAGCAAGAGCTGACTGCTGCATCCAAATGCAGGCATGTGCCGCCTTCCGTCCACAGTCAACGTCTGCTGGGCTGGGAGCTGTGATGAAGGGCCCTGTGGTCCCCGTTCCCATCCAGCCCTGTCCTGTGTGTTTGGTCTTTGTTGTGGCACATTGCTTCACTTAAGTACTTAAGTGCTTCCAAGAGGAACAATATTTCTTTTTTTCTTTTTTTTTTTTTTTTGAGGCAGTCTTGCTCTGTCGCCCAGGCGGGAGTGTAGTGGCGCAGTCTTGGCTCACTGCAACCTCCGATTCCCAGGTTCAAGCAATCCTGCCTCAGCCTCCCAGATAGCTGGGATTACAGGCATGTATCACCACACCCAGCTAATTTTTGTTATTTTAGTAGAGATGGGGTTTTATCATGTTGGCCAGGCTGGTCTTGAACTCTTAACCTCAAGTGATCTGCTCGCCTCAGCCTCCCAAAGCACTGGGATTACAGGCGTGAGCCACCACACCCAGCCTTAGGCAGTGCACTTAACCCTCAAAAAATCAGCTTGTTCTGTTCATGAGAACTGTTTTTCATAAATCGGTCACTACCTGTGAATCAGTTTATGCAGTGTCTTCTGCAGAGATGGGAAGGGGAGTCTGCCTGTGGGGGTGTCAGCCCCATTGTCCTGGGCCTGCCCAGGGAGGAGCCACAGCTGCAGTGCACGAAGCTCTGAGCCTGTCCCACTCTTGCCCCTATGCCCATCCCAGGGTCGCTTATCTCAGCTCTTGCCCAAGCCCAGGACCCTTTACACTTTCCCTCATATTACCATGTCCTCTGCCAATGCCCCACGTAGCAGTGCAGGTCACAGTTGCTGCCGCCCCAGAAAGACCTCCCAAGCTTCAGGGACACGTCTGTAATACACAGTCACCGTCTAGGTCACGTGTCCCACCTGCATGTGTGTGTGGAGCATCCCCTCTCCATGTGCAGAGCAGTTGGCAGCTGGCTTACGGTCACTGTGGGTTGAACCCCCCGGGAACCTGCATTTTTCTACAGAACATTCTGGTCCATGTTCAGTTTTTGTAAGGAGGCGCTGTGTCATCGCTGGGGTCACCCCAGTGGGGTGGACTATGCAGGATGTCCCAGTTCAGAACTCTTTACTGATGCCCGTAGGGTCAGGCTTTGCTGTGACAAGCAGTGGCTTAAACCCTAACCACACGGCCCTCCTGATGGGGTTAAAACAGATGATCCTCCCTGGAGCACGGGGGGCTCCCTCCAACCCTTGTTCTGCTGATCGAAGCTGCCCTTGAAGCTCCTGTTGTCCTGCTTTCGGGAGTCACTGGGACCTTCAGACTCAGCTAGAGATGCATTCGTTTGTGCCTTCCTTCTTTTCACAAACTGGAATTGCCCATGGGCCACACAGCCTGAAAGTTTTGCTGCTTCACCCCTATACTGTCCTGTTTGTTTTAGAGAAGAGGCCAAAATCCAAAGATCGTCTGCACCTGCCAACGGCTTCTCCTGTGTGGGAGGGGCTGCCCAGGAGGGATACCAGCCCCTGTGTTTGCAGTCTGTCTCCCAGCACCTCCGCAGACGGGTGTGATGACATGACTGCATCCCATGGATACAGGCCTGGAGCCACTGTGGGAGTATATGTGTGCCCTCCCTCAGAAGGAGTCTCAGGTGGACGGTGTGCCGCTAAATCAAGCTCTTTGCAAGTCTGTGATTATTAAGACCTAGAGGTGAGTCATGTGCAAAAGCCCCTCTCTCTCTTCCCAGGGTAGGGCCAGGGTCCATTTCATCTAATGCAATGAATTGGGAGAGGCCAGGTTTTAAGGGCTTCTCGTCCTCCTGGGTGGGTTGCCTGACATCAGTCAGTGTCTCTGCAGTCCTACCGGAATAGAAGCGGGGATGGGAAAAGCTCTGGCGGTTAATGTCTGAAATTCTTCACCCACATCCCCGTATGAGGGGAGAAGCTTTCTTCAGGGAAGAGTCCCCCTTGTTTCATCTGTCACTTAGAATCTGAAGGGTCAGACAGCAGGTTTTCCCAGCTTGAGGTGTATTTGCTTAGGAAAATCAAACAGTACATTTCATTATTAGCACCTTATCTGTTCATATAACATGTAAAAGGCATTGCCCCCTGGATTCCGCCCCCCTCAAAATTATTGAAAAGATCTGTTGAAAGCAGGGTGGGGAACAGCATAGAACCCACAGTCCATATCCACAAGTCACAACCAGGTTTATTCCAAGGCATGGCTGTTGGGGAGGGTGGGGCACATATCAGTGTATTTGCAAAATCTTTGAGCTTTCTGGTATTGTATGTACTAAATGTAGGAGATTTTTTTTATTGTGAAGATATTTTACTGTGTAGTAGAAACCATTCTAATATTGACTGTCATTGAAAAATAAAAGGTTACTGATGAAAAATACAGAAATATAAATGAAAATGTATGTTCAAGAAGTGGCTGCTTTCAGACCAACCCAGCAGCAACATTTGGTGATTAGTAAAGTGATATGAAACTTATTTTTCTTTTCTTTTTCTTTTTCTTTTTTTTTTGATACAGGGTCTCACTCTGTTGCCCAGGCTGGAGTGCACTGGGGTAGTCTTGGCTCACTGCAGCCTCTGCTCCCTGAATTCAAGCAATTCTCCTGCCTCAGCCTCCCAAGTAGCTGGAACTACAGGCAGGCACCACCATGCTTGGCTAATTTTTATATTTTTAGGAGAGACAGTTTTTCACCATGTTGACCAGGCTGGTCTCAAACGCCTGACCTCAAGTGATCTGCCCGCCTCAGTACCAAAGTGCTGGGGTTACAGGTGTGAGCCACCATGCCTGGCCAGGAATGCATTCTTTTCAGCGTGTTGAGAAACCTGATTGATAAGGCATACTTTTTTTATTTCAATAGAAGCTAACCACAGATAGGTTACTGGTATTCTGGGTTTTTTAACCAATGACTGCAAAAACATTTTCAGTTTGATGCCTGGAGTCCCTGCTGGTTTTCTAGCTCAGAAGAAAAGTATTGTATAGATCCTGGCTTCAGGGCCAATTCTGTATATTTTTTAATTAAATACATTGATTTTTTCTGGAAAGCATTTTCATCCCAAATTGGACATTAACACTGTTGCCAAAATGTTTACTTACATGTATTTACACGTCGTTTATATGAAGAAATAAGCATTCCCTGTGGTGGTGCACACCTGTAATCCTAGCTACTCAGGAGGCTGAGGCAGGAGAATTGCTTGAACCCAGGAGGTAGAGGTTGCAGTGAGCTGAGATTGCACCACTGCACTCCAGCCTGGGCAACAGAGTGACACTGTGTCTCAGAAAAAAAAAAAAAAAGAAATGTAATAGAAACCAAACATGGCTGAGGATAGTTTCTCTTGAAAAAAAGAAATAAGCATTCCCAATGTTTCACTTCTTCCCTAATTCATGAGTAGAATCCCTGCAGATAGGAGTCTCCATAAACAAGGTATTATTGATGCCGTGTAAGAGGGGGTTCTTCTTTATAGTTTCAGTACTTTCTAACTTTCCTGTAAGAACAAATCTTGCTCTCATAGAGGAAAAAAATATCCATGTCATACACAAAATGTTTTTATTGGAGACCTTGTAACTCATAGTAAATGTGGATTTATGATGACACAGAGATAAAAATCTACTTGATGTAGCTGTTACCCCATCTTAGCAATGTCTGCATCAGCCCCTTCAACAATGAAGGGCGTTCCCCAATCTTGTCTCCTCCCCTGCCCTGCCCCTTGCTTGTGGCTGGAGGAGTTTCAGCTGCAACCTGTGTTCCCCGAGTCATCTCAGACGGTAACCCCTCCTGCCTGTTCAGCCTTGACCTGGCTGTCGAGGCGTCTGCTCCTCATCCTGCCCAGTGCCTGGCCCTTGCCCATACTTCAGTGGGCATTGCGTGTCCTTGTGGGAACCCCGAGGTGCTGGTGCGGATCTCAGCCAGGGTGCTGGGTGCCTCAGGACAGGAGGTGCGCTCCTCACTGGTCTTGTGCGTAACAATGGCTCCCAAATAAAGACCCGGGTGGAGTTAACGGCGGGCACTCCTGGTGCTCAGGCCAGAATTCGGCCCCGGGATGCCCACAGCCCCACTCCGCCATGACAAATGTCAGATGAGATGGGAGCTCAGAATGTGACAACGTTTTTAATGCAAAGTCAACCATGAGCATCTTTCCTGTGTACTTATTAGACGTGAAACAGCAGAACTTCACAGCCCCATCTGCGTATTTTTCTACTCCATGGACAAGAGAATGATATTTTCAGGGAAGGCAATGCGGTCTGTGCCGTCACAATTGGGCGCATGGGGACAATAATTTTCCGGAGGCCCCTGGGGTCAGAGGACCCTAAAGTGGGCTTCCAGCCCCTCATTCGCAGATGGATGGCCTGCTGCTGTTGTAACTGGGGTGGAAGTTGAGCCGGTCACAGGGAGTGATGTAGTTATCGGGGCCAGTCACCATGCTCTTCTCCATGTAAACATTGAAAGTGTTGTTCCGGAACATTCCACCCGCTGCAAGTTGTTGGGAAAATTTATTTGAATTTGGATAAAACACTTTCTAGAAGAGATAAAGGAACATGAATTAATGATGCATAATATTCTTGAGCAATCCGTTGAATATTTTTGGAAGAAAAATAAGAATTCATAAGAAAATGCAGAGAAGCCAGAGGGGGCAGCTTTTAGCCTCTTCTTTGAGGTTGCCCACCCATGCCCCCCACACACCCAGTCTTGCTTCCCATTTACAAGCATCCTAATCCAGACCATCCTAATCCATGCCCGATGCCTGGCACTTGCTGTTAACACTGTCCCTTGCACTATCCTAGGGATAGAAGGATGAGCTTTGGGGCCATCTGTGTGGCACCTCTACCTCCAGATGTGGCTGTGAGCATTGCCATGGGGTCAGGCCTGGAGTCGCCCCTAGGTCTGCTTTTCCTCACTGCATTACTCTGGGAAAGCCACCAGCCCTCTCTGAACTTCAGTTTTCTCTTCTACGGAATAGAAATGAGATTCAGGTCAGTGGGTTTCAACCTTAACTGTGAATCAGAACCATCTGTAAAGTTTTGAAGAAGACATCACCGCCCATACCCAGCCAGCGCAGTGATCTGGGGAGGGCTGCCCTATTGAGGTTGAGAAGGGGGATGGTGAGCCACCCACATGGGCGGGCACCCCTGGTAGGAGTTATTCTACCAAGACAGCATCATTAGGTGACCATGGCATTCATGATGCCAGTGGCCTGGACCTCTGCCAAAATTTTACCCTATACGGGTGACCTGGGTGATCCTGTGTCACAGGTCACCTGATATCTCCTCGGCAAGAAGCAAGTGAAGAGAAAACTTTTTGTTTTTGAGAAGTTTTAGATCTACGGAAAAATTGAGCAGAAAGTACAGAGAGTTCCCAACCGACCTCCCTCGGCACACACGGTTCCCAGTTATTAGAATGTTGCACTCAAGAAACACTTGCTACAGTGGAGCCAGTGTTGACACTTAGTAACTAAGTCCACATTCTGCCATGGGACAAATGTATCATGACCTGAATCCACCCCTGCAGAACCAAAGAGAGGAATTCCCTTCAGTGCACTTGTTTTTCAAAAAATGGAATTCCATTTAAAAAAAAAAAGTGCCCTGAAGGGAATTCCTCTCCTTGGTACTGCAGAGATGTAGTCCCAAGGGGTGTGGTACCAATTTGCTCTTGTCACCGAGGCTGGCATGCAACGGTGCTATCTCGGCTCACTGTAACCTCCGTCTCTGAGTTCAAGCGATTTTCCTGCCTCAGCCTCCCGAGTAGCTGGGATTACAGGCGTCCACCACTATGCCCAGCTAATTTTTGTATTTTTAGTAGAGATGGGGTTTCATCACATTGACTAGGCTGGTCTTGAACTCCTGACCTCAGGTTATCCTGGGATCACAAGCATAAGCCACTGTGCCCAGCCCTTCAGTGCACTTTTTAATGCAAGCATTTGTCTTCTGTTCCCACATGGGAGGTAAACAGCTTCTCTGGCATCCGCCCTTGGTCACGAAACTGGAACACAGACTCCAGATGCAGCAGGTGGATAAGAAGCAGGAAGACCTCCTTTGAAACCTGTCAGGAGTCCCTCGTGCCTCCTATGCCATCACCTGGCCATGTCAGTGGCATGAAGGCTCCTACCATTTATAATAGGGACACGTTTTCAATGGCCTTTTATAAAACCGAAAACATCCGGAGCCATATGAGTGAGTGTGCTGGTCTTGTTGTTTTTGGTGACAGGGCCTGGCTCTGTCACCCAGAGTGGAATGCAATGGCACAATCACGGCTCACTGCAGCCTCAACCTCCTGGGCTCAAGCAATCCTCCCACCTCAGCCTCCTGAACAGCTGGGACTGCAGGTGCATGCCACCACACCCAGCTGATTATTTTATTTTATTTTTGTAGGGATGGGGTCTCACTATGTTGCCCAGGCTGGTCTTGAACTCCTAGCCTCAAGTGATCCTCTCACCTCAGCCTCCCAAAGTGCTGGGATTACAGGTGTGAGGCACCCTGCCCAGCTGTGTCTGGTCTTTTTCATAGAAATACCTGATCTCCAGGGAAAACTCAGGGTCATTTGACTCTGGGAAAGTGATTCTCAAATGCTCCAGCAGTGTTAGATAAGTAATCACCTTCTCACGAGAGCTCAGTCATTCATGCAACACAACTAAATAAGCATTCACCAGACCTTTCAATGATGAATGTTTTGACAAAGAAAAAAACGCCCCACAACATTCTCACCCCAAAATGGCTGTCCCACTTTCCCAGGTCCCTCTGTCCATTCACCTGGACCTGCAGGAGGCTTGGTTCCGGGAGATTCTAGGAGGGCCTGAGGTCAAGCTCAAAAGGCATTTGGCTTCCCCAAAGGCCCACAGGCTCCTGTGCCCACCAGTGCGCCTTGCCAGCCCACAGGCTATGCCATCAGCCTGTACTGCCTCTTAATGTCACAAGTTAACATCTCATAAAGTAAAATACCAGAAAGAAAGGAACCCTTCATTGATTTGCCTCAAAACTGACTGCTATAAACTGCAGGAGATGGTTGGGTATATGTATGACTGCTGTGCGTCTGGTGGGTGTATGGGGACAGAGTGATGTCAGCATGCATGTGTGACTGCCTGGCGTGTGGTGGGTGTATGGGGACAGAGTGATGTCAGCACGCATGTGTGACTGCCATGCTTGTGGTGGGTGTATGGGGACAGAGTGATGTCAGCACGCATGTGTGACGGCCGTGCGTGTGGTGGGTGTATGGGGACAGAGTGATGTCAGCACGTCCATATGCACTTTCCTCCTCTTTTAAAAACTCCACTCCCAAATGTATTTACTCGCTGAGTTCCACCCTACCCTCTCCCAAACAAGTTGAGGAACCTCCCTCCTCCCCATTTGTCATGCTGGAACTTTGGGCCCCTCCCTGGGTGTACCCCTCCCCGTCTCACTGTTGACCTATTGAGAACCCCAGGTTTTTAGCCTCTTCTTTGAGGCTGCCCACCCCCTGGCCCCCCAACACCCGGTCTTGCTTCCCACTTACGGGCATCTCGTGCACGGTGGGGGCTCTGCTCCCGTAAGCCTGGTTACTGGTCCTGTACACTGAGACAGCCTTCTGGGTGCTGGTGGATGAGAAACACTGTTTTCATTCATTCAATCTAATTCTGTCCAAGCCACAGCCTTGTATTTTGTTGGCGGCACTCCCCTGGAAATGCTCCCAGGGAAAGAGCCATGTGCCTGGCTGGGCTGGTGATGCAGCCTCAAAGGCAGCCTCCATGAGTGCCTGGCTGACGGTCCTGGATGGCCCAGCTTCCCTGGCCCCCTCTGCTCACAACTGTCCCTGCTCTTTCAAAGCAGGCCAAAGCCCTGAAGAGCAGGCAGCCAGCAAGTGCTGACCCCCAGCCCTGGCAGGGCCTTGGCACACGCTGCAATTTCTGGGTAACTTAGTCACCTTGTCAGGAGTGGAGGCTTGGCCTCCAGATCCTGCCACCCAGAGGGTCCCTCTGCCTCTGAGCCCCCACCCTCGCTGAGGCCATGCTTCTACTGGTACCACTGCCCCTGTCAGGGACAGGCCACTGAGAGGTTGCAGGCACACAGAGTAGCTCCACTGTAACCCCAGATCTTGTCCAAACTGTTCTTCCTACATCCCCATCATCTGTCTGGGAGAACGAGGATACGAACAAACCCTGCCCTAGAGGACTGTTGAGAAACCAAACCCGGGGGCACCGCCAGATGCCTGCACCTGCCTGTCGGAATTCAAAGTTCCTTACTACTTCTTAGTCTGCGGCGCCCTGTGGCAGCTCACAGTCCGCAGCAAGACAGTGGAGGTGCTGCTGTGCTCATGCCCTGCAGCAGAGTTTCAGGGTAGAGAGGAGAGGTGACTCATCCGACACAAAACCGCGGAGCTGAGACCACAGCTGGGCTTTCTCATCCCCCCGCGGCCCCGCACCGCCTGACCCCGCCTGAACCCGCCTGACCCCGCCTGACCCTTTCCTCGTATCAGGCTCTAGGGAGCACTTCCTCAGCTCACTGGTGGGCGATGACAGCGCGGGCCCCCGATGACCACTCGCTCCTCTTGACTTCCGTAGCTAGGATCTTGGGGGTCTTGCGGGGCCTCTCAAACAGGGATATGGAGCAGGGGACGCCAGGCCCAGGCACGCTCCGGCTTCCTCACCTGTAGCCCCGGAACCACCCCGGGTTGTTGAATCGGCCCGGCAGGTCCGCGCTCACTCGGTAGTAGTCGTTGGTCCTCTCCGGCGGGGCCGTGGCCTTGGGCTCCACAGGCTCCCCGCACGATCTGGGGCTTTCCTCGGCCATTGCGCCTCCGGCGGGAAGCGGGACTAGGCCGCGTCCTGTTGCCTAGCGACGGCCAGGTCACGTGACGGGGGCGCGAGCGGCGGGGCCTTAAAGGCGCAGCGCGTGGACCGGGCTCCTCGGAGGGCGAGTCCCCAGGGACCGGGAAGGTCAGGACGGCCAGGGATTCCCTGCTGGAACCGTCGTGTGGGGCAGCCCTAGGCCTCCAGCCGCCCGCGGGGGCACCGGGGCACCCCAGCATCGGGGCGTGGGCTCCCGGGGTAAAGGAACCCCAGGGCCTAGCACCCCGCCAGCCAGGTGACGGGGTTTAAGCGCTGCCGGTTCACGCGGCAGGCAGCGATTGGACGTCCGCTGTCCAGTGTCCTCCAGGGATGCCACGCCCCCAGCACCCCGAGTCTAAATTGAAACCCGAGATCTCGCTAACTCTATGCGATTCTCCTACGCCAAATATCGTTTAAATATTAAAAACAATTTTGGAGAGCCAGAGGTTGCGCGAGACGTGGTTCACAGCTCACGTGGCGGGAGGCGAAGGTCCCCATCGCTCAGCGGGTGCCCCCAAGGGTCAGGGGACTCCCGGGCCGGCTCGGCACATTAGCAGGGCGGGGCAAGCTGCAGGGCGAGGAACGTGGCCCCACTCCCCGCCAGAGACTCTAGAGCCCCGGACCCCGGGTCCTGCTCCGTCGCCTGCTCCGCCCCCGCCTCCGCCTCCGTCCCCGCCCCTCGTCTGCCCCGCCCCCGCCTCCGTCCCCGCCCCCTCGCCAGCCCCGCAGGGAGGTCCCTGCCGCCCGGGGACGGCGCCGTGGCTCCTCCAGGCCTGCAGGTGGTGCTGCGGCCCCGCGCGGACGGTGGCGGGAGGGAAGGCCGCTCGGCCGGGCCCGGAGGGAGGCCCCGTCCCGTCCACGTCCCCGCCATGGCGCCTTCCTCGGCAGCGCTGCCTCGAATGCTCGGCGTGGGTGAGCGCGCTTGCGGGACCCGCGGGAAGAGGATGCGGAGGGCGCGCGGGGACCCGAGGGGGCGGAGGGGACCCGGAGCGGGCGCGGAAGGAACTCGGGGAGGGCGAGGGGACCCGTGGGGGACGCGATCGGGGCGGGCGTGGTGCAGCCGCGGCGCGGCGCCAGGACCTCTGTCTGCTTCCCTCAGGCGCCCGGGCCCTGTCGCGCTGGCTGGGCCTCCTCGGGGAGCCAACCCCTGGGCCTGCTCGGCCGAGCCGCAGGACGCTTGGAAGCGCGGCGGCCCCCGCGATCGGCGAGCCGGAGGACGGCAGCGGTAACACTGGGCGTCCCGCCGAGTCGGGTGGGAGCGAGGAGAGGCCAGCAGCCGCCGGGGCGGCGAGCCCTGGAGGGGCCTGGGCGCTGCGCGCGGTTGAAGCTGCGCGCCCCGCCGGGCTTCTCCCGCCCCCGAGCGCGCCGCCGCTCAGTCCTGTCGGACCCAGCACCCCAGGCTGAGGCCACCGCCTCTCCAGGGATGGGTGCGAGGGAGCGGGCGGGCCAGTGGGCAGCCCAGGCTTCGCTCCCTAGGGGTTGTCACTGGCCCACCGAGGGTCGGAGCCCCAGGCTCGCCCAGGCGGACCCAAGGGACCTGGGGGCTCGGAGTCTGCCCACCTTGCTGGACTACTGATGGGGACTTTCTGGCTGGGCACCTGAGACCCCAAGGCTGGGAGGTGCCAGAAAGACCTGAGAAACCCGCTGGGCCCCTCTTCTTCTCCTCTATTTTCCAAGTAATACCAAGGTTACGGGGTTGACCAGGTTCGACCCGGTTCACCGAGGAGCAAGGTCGGGATCAGAACCCGGCTCCAGCCCTCCGTTTCCTGGAAAGGTCCCTGTGCTTCCAGGTCTTTCCGGGGGGCTGCTGGACTCCCCGCTTCCTCCGCGGTGTCACAGAAGGCACGTGGGAGCAGGGGTGAGTGGGGACTGCGCTCTGCTTGTCTCTTCTGCAACTGCTGGGAGACGCAGCCCGGCTCTTCCTCCCTGCAATAGATTTGCACGACAAGATTCTGAACGAGCCCCTGAAGCATTCTGACTTCTTCAATGTCAAGGAACTGTTTTCCGTGAGAAGCCTCTTCGATGCCCGGGTGCACCTGGGGCACAAAGCTGGCTGTCGCCATAGGTAGGTCACACCCCTGTCTGAACCTGTGCTGGTTCCCAGGAGGGCTGGGACCTGGGACCTGCCTTGGGTCTGGGGCCACTTTCGAACGGGCCTGTGCCAGTTTTAGGTGATTACAGCTCCTTCGTCCTCCACATGGGAACTCGGAGCCTCACAGAGAAGCAGCAGTTTACTCCGGCGCTTGGCCAGGGCTCTTGTGTGCTTGGGCATGGGGCTCACAGCCCTTAGAGGGGCAGGCCTGCTGGGGGTGCAGCCCTCCAGGGTTCAGAAAAGGAAAGGCTGGGGGCAGAACTTGTGAGATTGGCCCCCACTGGATTGGGCAGGGCTTTCTGGGCTGTGGGGAGCAGGAATGACTGGTCCTGACTGTGTTCTCACATGGTCATTTTGACTGCTGTGGGGAGAGTGAATGGGAGGGGCAGGTGGGAGGCCAAGGAGGAAGTGGTGGGGGCATCCGGGGCCAGGGTGATGAGGCTCAAATTCTGGTAGCAGAAGAGCTTCAGCAGCAAGGTGTACGTGAGGCTGACAGGCAGAGCCAGTGGGCCTTGGGCTGTTGATGCTGCTGAGAAGTGAATTTTAGGGCATGACTTTGGCAAGATGGAGGTCGCCAGTGCCTTGATGGGCAGGGTAGCTTGACAGGAAGGGACAGAACCTGGTTGGAGTAGACTGGAGGAGAGGACCTGGGAACAGCAAATGTAGATGACTCCCCTGCCCTGCACTGAGAGGCAGGGGTGTCTCCTGGCTGGGCTGTTCCTCATCCCAGCCCCGCGGGGGTCAGTGTCCTGGATCAGCGTTCCTACCAGGCTGGGCCACTCCCGCCCTGATGCCTTGATGCTTTTGGCCCAGAGCACCCCCCGGCAAGTCCAACCCCAGAGGGACCTTGTCCTAAAGCCTTGGGAAGAGGAGAGTGATGGAGGGGCTGCCGCATGAGCAACAGTGGGTCAGTTCTACTAGGATTTCCTTGAGAAGAGGCAGAGGGTCAGAGGGGTTCATCCATGAGCTGAGGTGTGCAGAGGGGTGGCTTGGACGAGGTCTTCACTGCTGTCTGTCTACGTGGGCAGCGGTGCACATTGTGCCCCACAGATGAGCCTGGGAGTCCCTGGTGGGCGTCTGTGTTCTGGCAAGGCCCCGTCACCTCTCATGCCCTGTGCCTTGACCGGGTCCCCGGCAGGTTTATGGAGCCGTACATCTTTGGGAGCCGCCTGGACCAGGACATCATCGACTTGGAGCAGACGGCCACGCACCTCCAGCTGGCCTTGAACTTCACCGCCCACATGGCCTACCGCAAGGGCATCATCCTGTTTATAAGCCGCAACCGGCAGTTCTCATACCTGATTGAGAACCTGGCCCGCGACTGTGGTGAGTATGCCCACACTCGCTACTTCACGGGTGGCCTGCTGACCAACGCGCCCCTCCTCTTTGGCCCCGGGGTCCGCCTGCCGGACCTCATCATCTTCCTACACACGCTCAACAACGTCTTCGAGCCCCACATAGCCGTGAGAGACGCAGCCAAGATGAACATCCCCACCGTGGGCATCGTGGACACCAACTGCAACCCCTGCCTCGTCACCTACCCTGTCCCTGGCAACGACGACTCGCCGCCGGCTGTCCACCTCTACTGCAGGCTCTTCCGAACCACCATCACCCGGGCCAAGGAGAAGCGGCGGCAGATCGAGGCCCTGTACCGCCTGCAGGGCCAGAAGGAGCCCGGAGCCCAGGGCCCAGCCAACCCTCCCGGGGCTGACGTGAGCCACTCCCTGTGACATCCACTCTCCTCCTCTCTAAGCAAACTGCGGCCCAGCCTGTCTGAGCTGAGCCCTCTTCCTCAGCCCTGCGTCAGCGGCATCCTTTGTCCTTCATGTGACTTACTGAGCTGACGTATGGTGCAGACCTCCACCGCTCCACCTCAGAACCAGTGGCTGAGCCGACCGATGTTGCCATCTGCATTTGCTTTGTGGGAAACAGCACAGAGGGTGAATGACTTGTGCCAGGTGGCCCCTTGGCTGAGGTTAGGACTGGAGCCTGACATCTCAATGGCCGGTGCAGTCAGCCTGCTGGAAGACACGGCTGTCCCTGTGATCCAAGCAGCCCTCCCTCACCCTGACCCGGCCTTTGTCAGGAAGGCCTGGTTTTTCTTCTCAGTCTAAATGCCTTTCAGGTGGACTGCTTTCTTGGCCGCCTGGTTCCAGGGGGCTGTTTCAGAATGAGATGCTGCAGGCAAGCTCCCAGCTGGGTTGGTGGGTCAGCCAGGCCAAACAGATGACCTGATTCCAGCAAAAATAAAACTCAGATTTGGGCAAAATGAGTCTTGGAGCTTGGGGTTCCGCCTGGAGTGGTGTGCTTTCATCCGTGTGGTGTGGTGGCTTCTCAGGCATGCACTGGGGCCCCAGTGATGGCAGATGGGACAGCACTGTGTGTGATGGTCATTAGTGAGGTCAGCGCAGGTGCCATGATGGCAGATGGGACGGGCACTGTGTGTGAGGGGCATTAGTGAGGTCAGTGCAGGTGCCATGATGGGAGATGGGACAGGCACTGTGTGTGAGGGGCATTAGTGAGGTCAGCGCAGGTGCCATGATGGGAGATGGGACGGGCACTGTGTGTGAGGGGCATTAGTGAGGTCAGCGCAGGTGCCATGATGGGAGATGGGACGGGCACTGTGTGTGAGGGTCATTAGTGAGGTCAGCGCAGGTGCCATGATGGGAGATGGGACGGGCACTGTGTGTGAGGGGCATTAGTGAGGTCAGCGCAGGTGCCATGATGGGAGATGGGACGGGCACTGTGTGTGAGGGGCATTAGGTCAGCGCAGGTGCCATGATGGGAGATGGGACAGGCACTATGTGTGAGGGGCATTAGTGAGGTCAGCGCAGGTGCCATGATGGGAGATGGGACGGGCACTGTGTGTGAGGGGCATTAGTGAGGTCAGTGCAGGTGCCATGATGGGAGATGGGACGGGCACTGTGTGTGAGGGGTATTAGGTCAGCGCAGGTGCCAGCTGCCACTGGAGGGCACCGTCTTCCGCAGTGGAGCTTCTGACAAGCGCACAGCCAGGCCAGCCTCATTCATCGGAGCAGGCTTGGTGTGGACCCAGCTTCAGGAAAGACAGGCACTTGCTGACAGGGACGCTTAACAGCCCCCCACCCCCTACCATAGGGACACACCTGTATTCCTCGGATGAGCTGCAGCCGCCTCTTTCAGCCCTGTCCCCAGCTGCCTGGAAGTAAGCCGTGCATGCACCTGACGACCCCAAGGAGCTGTCTCTGGGAAGAGTCGGGTCTGGTGCCTGGGGAAGGCGAGGCCTGCCCTGTAGGAGCAGCTCAGGGTGATGGAGGCTGGGGTCCAGTGTCCTTCCCTGCCCCTTCAGGGTTAGGCTGGCGAGGGGTTCATGGAGGGGGTCCCGGGGGTGTCAGGTTTGTGATATGGCAGGACAGGGAGCTGAGCTTCAGGTTGTTCTCTGGCCAGCATGGCTTTCATTTGCAAACCCAAAGTCTGGAGATGCAGGTGTATAAAGGCAGGTGAAGTGAGAGCCCCTCTAGGGCTCCCCAGAATCCCTCCCAGTGTGTAGATGAGATCCCCTGAGCTGGGCCTCCTGCCCCACAGAGC